GTGAAAATGTTTAGGAGGGATTCAAAACTAGAATGCGAGACCAGTAAATTTGAGTAAACAATTTAGTTGTTTCTTTTAATCTAAAGAATGCAAAATTCATAATAAAGTGCAAAATTTTGTTTTACAGTTGGCTTTATCCGAAGTTTTGCTGAACCTGCAATAGTATTTGTTGATTATCTATAACTATAAAAAATAAAGAAATTATTTCAGCACACAATTTCAAAGTTTCATTTTGTTGATGTTGTATTTTAATGTAGTTCATTTCATCATAATTTGTTGTTTTTTTTTCCGGTGTATATATATAACCAAGAAAACTTGGAGAAATGTGAAGCACAAGATTGTCCCATACATTTTCTCGCGCTGTTGTCACCAATATGCGCAGTACTTTTGTGACAGTGACAACTCGCCAATGATACACCGGGCATGCCAATTCAGCCATGATGGTCACATATCTTCAGCAGATGACATGGCGCGAGGAGAGAAGCTCGTGTACTGGGCAACGCGGGCGCCCTGACAAACGACCCTGAGGCGTGCCATCGTTCCCTTAGTTTTAAAGGGTGGTCTTCTGCTGTTAAAAGCTTTACTTTGACCGTCCTGTATAACTGATGTGACGCTCCACTGGTGCAAACTTTGTTTGGTAACTGTCCTAGAAAAACTCGGATTGAGACACTTGCCAAGTGATTCAATTGTGGTGTCTCAAAATATAGGGTCCTAAAATATTACTATTGCTTCTACCTACTCCTAAAATATTACTTTTGATTCCATTATTCCTAAAAAAATATAACAATTGCTTCTATCTTCTCGACAATATATTGCTAAAAATACGTAGCTGAGTGTCGTTCACTCGTAAACATTAACGAAAAGTTAGGCCAGTCGCTATTCTTGTGTGACTGGTTCTTTTATGGGTTGGTATATGGGTAAGGGTTCGTTCTTGTATACGTTGGCTCTTTAATTGCTTGGTTACTGTATTGGTTGGTTATTTAAAACGTTCGTTCTTGTATAGGTTGGCTCTTGAATGGTTTGGCTCTTAAATGGGCTGGCTCTTGAATGGGCTGGCTCTTGAATTGGTTGGCTCTTGAATGGGTTGGCCTGAATGGGTTGGCTCTTGCTTTAGACCAAAGGTCACCAAACTACGGCCCGCTCGAAGGATCAGGGACGTGACGCCAGCTCAACAGGCCCGCCAGCGGGACTTGCATTGGCTTGACAAAACGTATGGAACACGGGGCATTGCGGTACCAATATAATAGTAGGTTCAGAATGCTAGGAGAGCTTCACACATGCGGAGACCTCCTGGCTGCTATGCGCCTTAAATTTACCATTTCCAATGTATTTTTTGTATTTAGGTTTCCTCGTTTATGGCAGACATACTTACCCTTGAACTCATAAAATAGTAAAATAGTGTCTCAAAATCATACAATACGGTATCTTGACAGTAAATAAACCTACAATATATATCATAAATACCATAACTCCTCGAATCGCTGTGCCCTGTGGGGTGGAGTTAATATGGCGTCAAAAAAAAAAGTTAACTGCTAAAAGTAAGATGACCGACGTTTCTATTTGCAATCTGCGGTCACTTTATTTTGCAGACGTGTGTTTCCTATAGCTGTTAATGTACATTGAGTGGACGCACAGATCACATTGACACCGTCTGTCAATGGTGAAGAACAAAGTTACTGTTGACATGATAGCGTGTTTCAAACGCGAAGTCAGATCAGCATCAGTCGGAGTTGATCGTCATCTTTTTTCCACAGAGTTTTGTTCTGGCTTGCATTTATTGTACATACTGATTATCTGGCTTGCATTTATTGTACATACTGATTATCTGGCTTGCATTTTTTGTACATACTGATTATCTGGCTTGCATTTATTGTACATACTAATTATCTGGCTTGCATTTATTGTACATACTGATTATCTGGCTTGCATTTATTGTACATACTGATTATCTGGCTAGCATTTTTGTACATACTGATTATCTGGCTTGAATTTATTGTACATAATGATTATCTGGCTTGCATTTATTGTATAGAATGATTATACGGCTTGCAAGTATTGTATGGAATGAATAAGTGGCTTAAAGTATTGTACTGAATGATTATGTGGCTTGCAAGTATTGTACATTTGTACATCGTGTTTATTTGGCCCCGCACTCAGCTCGTTATTTTGTAGGTTATCCGGTCATTGTAAGATTTGGGACTCCTGATTTAGTGTGATACGTTTTAATAACATTAAACTTGTTCCACAAACACAATATAAACTGCGTCTTGGAACTAATCGTCTGGTTTATGTCTAGTTTTATGTCTAGGTTTATGTCTAGGCTTGTGTCTAGGTATGTGTCTAGTTTTATGTTAGAGTTAATGTCTAAGTTGATATCAAGTGTAGGCCAAAGTTTATGTCTAAATTTGTATCTAATTTTATGTCTAAATTAATGTCTAAGTTTATGTAAAGTTTGGTCAAAGTTTATCTAGTTTTATGTCCAAGGTTATGTCCAAGCTTTTGTCTAAGTTTTTGTCTCACTGTACGTAGAGATTTATGTATACATTTATTTTTAAATCTCTGACTATATTTATGTTAAAGTTTATGTCTAAGCTTATGTCTAACTTTGTGTCCAATTGTATTACCCTATATTTTAACCATGGAAACCGGTACTTTCTCCTGCATCAACATTCCCATTATCCATAAAACGATTTAGGTCCAAGACGGCCCATAATGGCTAGCGACATTTGTGAAAATTGGCACGTTCCTTACTGAAATCGCCCACAAAGTATTTTTGGAGAAGACGTCTTTGGCTGAGCTCATCTGCAGCCCGACTCCGGGTGCTCTTTTGTTAGCTCTAGTTCCACACAAGCTCAACTCCGAGATCTGGCGAAGGGAAGGATAGCTCTGTCATTCGTCTGATTATCTATCTTATTATCTGTCTTATTATCTATCTTATTATCTATCTTATAATTTATCGTATTATCTATATTACTATCTAGGTGTGTGTTTTCAATGTTGGTGGTTTAGTGGGTGACATATTTCGTAGAAGAGTTAGGTGATTAAGCTGGTGGAAAGGTGTGGTAACATAGCTGGTGGAAGAGTGGGGTGACATAGCTGGTGGTAGATTGGGATGAAAAACCTGGTGGAGAGTGGGGTACCATAGCTGGTTGAAGAGTGTGGTAAGATAGCTGGTGGAAGAGTTAAATTACATTGCTGGTGGTAGAATGGGGGTCACATAGCTGGTAAAAGAGTCGGGTGACAAATCTGGTGGAAGACTGTGGTGACAGAGCGGTGGAAGAGTGTCGTGACACATCTAGGGGAAGAGTGTTGTGACCTGTCTTATTGAAAAGTGGCGTGACATGGCTGGTGGAAGAGAAGGGTTAAGTAGAGTTTGAAAATTTGTAGTGACATAGCTGGTTAAGAGAAGGGTGTAAAAGCTGTTTGTAAGAGTGGGGTGAAATAGCTGGTGGAAGAGTGTGGCGTTATAGCTGGTGGAAAATTGGGGATATTAAGCTGTTGGAGGATTGTGGTGGCAGAGCTGGTGAAGCAGTAATGTGGCATAGCTAAAGGACAATTTGGGGTGACATCTGTTGGAAGAGAGGGTTATTATAACTATTTGGAGAGGGGATACATAGCTAGAGGAAGAGGGCGGGGGGTCATTAATTTAAATAAATTATCTTTCAAAATTAAAAGAAAGGAGTATACTTCTAAAATAAATTAATTTTATAAGTGTTTGAAATCGGAGCTGTAAGAACATTTCACCAGCTCCGGCACAGCTTCAGCTCAAGCTCAGCTCCAGCTCCAGTTCAGCTTCAGCTACAGATTAGCTTCATCTCCAATTCAGCTTCAGCTCCAGCTCAGCTTAAGCGCCAGCTACAAGCAAAAGAACGAAGCTCAAGAACTCATAGTTTCAGGTTTAAAATCCATTTCAACGACGGCACACAAGCCCACCCATTCTTACACCAATCATACCCCTACTAGGCCCACCCTAAATACACCAATATTTACCCTCCTTAATATCCCCACCCATGCTTACACCAATCAAACCCCTACTAGGCCCACCCTAAATACACCAATATTTACCCTTAATATCCCCGCCCCTGCTTACACCAATCATACCCCAACTAGGCCCACCCTAAATAACACCAATATTTACCCTTAATATCCCACCCCTGCTTACACCAATCATTAGCCCTGAAATGCCAACCTCTACTTACACCAATTATTGCCCATACTATGCCCACTCTTATTACACCAATCATTACCCCTAATATGCCCACCCTACTTACATCAATATTACCAATACTATCACCATCCATAATTACACCATTCATTATCCTTAATATGCCCGCCCCTTATTACACGAATCATTACCCATACTATGCCCAGCCCTAAATACACCAATCAATACCCCTAAAATGCTGCCCAACCCTAATTACACCAATAATTACCCCTAATATGCCACCCCTATTTACACCAATCATTACTCTCTCTGCTCTCCCAACGTATCACATGCATGCACACCTCACATATTTCCATTATACAAATATGTATCTCACCAAATATACGTTTTTTTAAAGTTTTTTTAAAGCTCTTTATTTTTACCTGCCTCTTCCTTCATACAGTCTTTTATACACTACTACAATATCACCTACTTTCCCCGGCCAGCTCCTACAACTCTCTCCCAATGCTTTAGTTCCTCATGTTGTCCCCATAGATATTACAACCTTTGCCCTACATTCAAAACACCTTCCTTAATTATGAATGCACCAATTAACCCTGTGCGCCCCTTCACGTAAACACTTAAATATCCTTATTACTTAATTTATAAATTCCAATAATATCTCCAATGCGAGTTTCATAAAAATGTATCTCTTTAAGAGAAAGAATAAATAGCTTGGCTTCAATAATTCATACAGCATAAAACTACTATTATTGGAACACTAATTGCGTCATCAAATTTTGCATGTTCTTTCTTTTTTTACATCCGCTTTTCGCTTAAGTAGGAAGTTACGTATTGGCTGTCTACATGACGTTAGCTCTTCATCGCTTTGTTACCAAGTACACAGGAGCACACATGCATCGGTGTGCGATAAAGTTCTATTTAAGGCTGTAAGTTTGTTGTTGACAAATTTCAGCCGCACCTAAGCTGCATCCTTTGCTAACAGCATCACCTAGCAAATCCTGTTCACGGACGGCAATGTCTTCCTCCAGGAAAGCCACAGATGGGGCTGGACCCAGCGATCAGAAGCATTCGACGAGATACACGGCTAACACAGAAGCGGGACCGAGTTCTGGCGTCAAGAGGAGGAGGAGAAGACCGAAACTGAAGTTTCAGTTCCCTACATCGGTGCCGAAAAATATGCAAGACGTGAAGTTCGACACGTACATAAAGAAGGTTTGTTTTAGCTAGAAGTAATCTCTCTCGATTTTAGATTGCATTCTTCTTCTTCTGTATATTAAGGGCCCACGATCAATTCTTTGATATGTATAGCTCTTATGCATGTAGAAGGGATTCGCCATGTTTCTGTGCCTGGTTTTTGAAGAGGCTATTTCACGGGTTGCTAGGGCTACTCGGCGACAGTATCACGAATTGGGGGTTGAAAGGCGTGAGACAATAGACGCACATGTCTCAAGTAGTGTCCCTCTGCTGTTTCTTCTTGACGCTTTTTCCAGTCCCTGATTGTCTTTGACATAAATGTCCAGGTCCTGTACTGTGTTTTTTTGCTGTTATAACCCGGAACTGGTTGCTGTCGTCTCAATGTTTTCGTGGAGGAGGTAGTGGAGGAGGGGGGGGTGAGGACAGGGACGAGTTTATGTATAAGGCTGGAGCAGTGGACCAACCCAATTTTAAAAAAAAATAATCTTGTACCTCACGGAGAGCCTGGTTTATAACTTATTGGTGACTCTCTCACCAGAGAATGATTCAAACCAGAATAATTAATAATACAATTTTTGTTAGAGCCGTCAGGTTTTGTGTAGTAAATGGATACGTCAGAGTTTGGGCGGGAAACAGTTCTCCTGAAGTGATGACTATCTTGGCATGGTACTAAGCTCTTCCCAACTATCTTGTCAGTTCCAATTGAACTGCTAGGCATTTCCGACTTTCATTTAAGATAATTCAATAATAGTATTTTGTTATATTTTCCAGGTAATGGTCTTTAAAATGTAGTGTGTGTCTAGAGTGTGTCTAAGTTGTGTCTCATATTAAATATACTAAGTACTTTTGGTATTTTTATTTTATCTATTTAAATAATACCTTATGAAAGTGTTGTTGTTCATCCGTCAAGATCGACTAGGACAATCTAATCATCGTGTTAGGGGGATGGGTTGGTCATTGTGAGTTCGTAGGTGGCCGGCTAGTCCGATACGTGCTTGGAATAGTCTCTGACCCCGTGGGCAGGGCATAGTTGCTGTACTTGGTGATCTAATGTTGATTTTTCCGGACTAGCCTGCGTATCACAGCTGTGTATCTCCTACTGGCTTCAAGAGATTCAGCCACCTTCTTTACAGCTGATCTCCACCTCTTTCTTGGACTGTCTGCATCCATTCAGTAGGGTTGATGCTGAAGGCCTTTAGTGCAACTTGTAGGTTGTCTTTGTAACGCTTTCTTTGACCTCCTCGTGAGAGCTTTCCTGGCTGGAGTTCGTCGAGGAAAATCTGTCTTGGGACCCGGTTCACTTCCATACGCGCTATGTGTCCCATCCAACGGAGTTGAGACCCCATCAGGAGGTGAAGATGCTAGGTAAGTTCCTTCTAGCAAGAACCTCCGTGTAAGGCACTTTGCTTTGCCACCTGATGCCGAGAAGTTTCCTGAGGTAAGTTGTGTGAAAGTTAAGTTTCTTTGCGTGACACTCGTAGACTGTCCACATGTGATAAAAGTAACGGAAATGTGTAGGAACATCAGCAGATGTACTATTTTCCTGCAGTTAGAAAATATTAATCAATTCCAGACATTTGCCCCATTTTCTGTTCATGATAGCTGAACATTTATTTAACATCAAACCAAGTGTTAACCAACCAAATAGATAATGGATCTTTTTTTTTAATCTGCACGTTTAATCCAAATGTAGATAAATGTTTGATTTTTTTTTTTTTTTGCAGTTATTGTTTAACTAAATTCCAAGCTAGACTTTTTCAGATTGATGTCAATCAATTTCAATGTTGCGAGTTAGGGTCTTATGTTATCCAATTGAAATTGTACATTGGGAAAAGGCTTAATAAGCGAGCTGTCGAGCTAAGACCAAGCACTGTGTGCCTCCGCAAACCTCTCCTCTCATAAACCAGATTAGAGGGTCGCGAAGCGGCACGTTGGAGATCACCCTTTACCATACAGTGCCCACTCGAACAGGTGTTAACAGAGTCCATGCCATCCAAGGACATCCGGTCGGCCGGTGACCCTGCTCTCACGTGCTCAGCAGTCAACTTTACCAGGGGTTCGGATTTGAATATTTACGTCCTAAAATCTTCCCCACTCCCGTCCAAGGGAAGCGTAAGAAGCCATCGCACAGGGATTGCTACAGTAAGGGATTGCTACAGTAAGGGATTGCTACAGTGAGGGATTGCTACAGTGGCCTTCTAGCCCACGATTATTTTACAAAGCAGCTTGGACGAAACGGTTTGAAAGGAACGACGTCCTCTTAGTGATTTGTCAATAGAAACATAAGCATGAGGATGCCACTACCCGCCACGTGATCCACATCTATTAACGGCTAAATGTAATCATGATCCCTACCCTGTTTCTCCCTTAAATTACAGTGGCCCACTGTCCCCGGGTTGGTAGCCCTGCAAATGCTACCATTTACGGCAGATACCACGGAAGTCCCTCGTTAGGTCTGCGGCGGTTCACGCAATGGTTGTTTTATTCTCCAGATAATTTCTCGGGGAGGGGGATTATGTTACCCCATAATAAGTTTGATTTTTATGTTACCCCATTATAGGTTTGCTTTTTATGTTGCCAAAAAGAGAAACACGAGAGAGGGGGTTGCTGGGTGTCAAAGGAAATATGCTACTATTTTAAAATGGATTAAACTTTATTTTTTGGCGCTCCTTCTTATGCAGAAATAAAGTTATTCAAAGTGATACTATTTTGAAGTTCTCCCTTTGAAAATGTAGTTTTCAAAGTTCTACTGTTCTGATGCTCTCCCTATAGAAATGCCGTTTTTAAAGTGATTTTTATCTCTGTTGAAATATATATTTGTTCAAAGTGATACTACTGTGTTGTTCTCCCTGTAGAAATGTAATTTTCAAACTGATACTTTTGTAATGTTCTGCCACTGGAAATGAAGTTTTTCAAACTCATATTATTGTTTTTTTCTCCCTGTTGAAAGTGATACTTTTGTTATGCTCTCTCTATTGAAAGTGATACTTTTGTTATGCTCTCCCTGTTGAAAGTGATACTTTGGTCATGCTCTCTCTGTTGAAATTTAGTTTTTCAAAGTGTAACTATAGTCTTGTTCTCGCTGTTGAAATGGAATTTTCCAAAGTAATGCGAGAATGATGCTCACCCTGTCGAAATAAAATTTTCAAAGTGATGCTAATGCGATGGTCTTTCTGTAACGCGCAGGTGCTGAAGAAAGTCAAGCCCAGAATCAAAATGGCCGGCCCGTCGATCAAGCTGATGGACATCATCATGAAGGACACCCTGCACCACATCGCCACGGAGGCCAAGGGCAAGATGGGGCGAAGGAAGACTCTTAAAGTAAGTAGACGTAGAAAGGTCAAGGGCAAGGTGAGGAAACCTCTGAAATTTATAAGGCGTGGAAAGGTCAAGGACGGGGTCAGGAGGAGGAAACCTCCTAAAGTAAGTCGGCATAGAAAGGTCAAGGACAATTTAAGGAAAACTCTAAAAGTTTGTAGGTATAGAAAGGTCAAGGACAAGGTGAGAAAACTCTTAAAGGAATTAGACATGGAAAGGTAAAGGACAAGATGAGACTCTTAAAGTAAGTAAACATAGAAAGGTCAAGGACAAGAAATGCTTAGTGTGGTCGTTCATAGTGTCCAGTGTGGTCATTCAAAAAGTCAAAAATGTAAAAAAAAAAAATTCAGTTTTTTGTCATTGATTATATGTGACGACACTTTGAAATAGATCAATTTAATTCATTTGGAAATGTATTTCTTGCGTCCGCGCAATCACACACAGAGAGAGAGAGAGAGAGAGGCATAGCAAGAGACATGCAGAGCGTGACATAGAGAGACAGAGAGATATTATATTCATGCATTCTACTCACACATTCTACCCATACATTATATTCATGCATTCTTCTCATACATTCTACCCATGCAATATATTCATGAATTCTATTCATACATTACTCATACATTATACTCATGCATTGTACTCGCACATTCTACCCATGCATTATATTCATGCATTCTACTCATACATTACCAATACATTATATTCATGCATTCTACTCATACATTACCAATACATTATATTCATGCACTCTACTCATACATTACCAATACATTATATTCATGCATTCTACTCATACATTACCAATACATTATATTCATGCATTCTACTCATACATTACCAATACATTATATTCATGCATTCTACTCATACATTACCAATACATTATATTCATGCACTCTACTCACACGTTCTACCCATACATTATATCCAACCATTCTACTAATAATTTCTGAATTTTTTTTTCCGACAGCCCAAAATCATCATGAAAGCGCTAAAGAAAATCATGTCTAAGAATCTGGTGCAGCGGGCCCACGAGCATGGTCAGCGGGCACTGGACAGATATGAGGCCAAGACGAAGAGACGAAGGTAGAGACTCACTCCAAGATGGCGGCTCCATTACAAGACACGGGAGCCACAGGGAGCCATCAGGACCCATCAGAAGCCATCGGGAGCCATCAGGAGCCATCGGGAGCCATCGGGAGCCATCGGGAGCCTTCAGGAGCCATCAGGAGCCATCGGGAGCCATCGATAGCCATCGGGACCCATCAGGAGCCATCGGGAGCCATCGGGACTCATCGGGAGCCATCGGGAGCCATCAGGAGCAAATGCTAGCTGAGATATTCCGTACTTAGAGGATTGAATCAGTTTCTGAAAATGAGGACTGTTTGTCAGGACTTGGATGTTTAGACTCAGGTCAATTTTAAATCTTTAACATATGAAAAATAAATAATCGAATACAGATTTAGTTAGTGTAAGGGACATTATTTAGGATTGAATTCACAGTTGTAAGAAAGATTGGATTGGTATTTAAATGAAATAACATATGAATAGAATTGTGAACTAAAATTCATCTGAAAGTTTTTTAAAAAGTATGTCGAATTAGACACAGTTGCATGATGGGAATATAGATGGCAGTGAAAGGCAAAGATTTTAAACCCATGAAACGAATGTGTCGGTGTGAATCACTGTTAAAAGCATAATGACAAGACTGTCTCTACAGGTGCCAGCTTTTTCTGTGTGTGTGTGATTGATCTATAGTTTTGCTGAACCCAAGAGTTGTTCAGTCTGACCACGTGTTCTGTCAGCATATTTTAACATATGATTAGTGCAACGGGCTTGTGAGATGACATCTTAAAGCCCCGAATGGAGTGCATGATTAAAAAAATGGAAATATTACTGACTTATTGTCTTATTATTTCATGTCTCATTGTCTTAATGTCTTAATGTCGTATTTACCTAATGTTTTATTGTCTTAGTATCTTCATTTATTTTAATTTTGTTGTCTTAACAAAATTGTACGAGTCTAAAACTATTGAGGCTAAGACATATTTTTACAAAAAAGTATTTTTTCTTTATGTTGCTCTGATTATCGTTCAATGAAAAGTAGTAATTTTCAATATAACATTATTTACAATTAGTAATTAGAGATAAGTCATAAGAGAAATATATATTCCCCTTATTCCAAAGCCTTCAAAATAAGTTCTTCTCAACTAAGTCGCACAAAATATTAAGTCATTCATGGGAGTACAATGCCAAACAATTGTATGTACCGAATACCAGAGGTTAGTTTTGTATGTGTCAATGACAATGTCAGACAATGTCAGACGGAACATTGGAAATGCAGCAGAATCAAATAGCATATAATTCATTATTAATACATAAAATTCAAATCCTAATAATAAAGCCACGGCAAATCGATAACTTAAGCATTTATTGAAAATTAGAAAGGAAACGAAAACATTATTTTTTTCTTAACGATGCGACCAAGTCAACAAACTAAAATAGATCATAAGTTGGTAGTATCGTATGTTTAATTTTTTTTTTTTCATTTCATTCATTTTCATCAGCTGAAAGCTGATAATATAGAAGTTGATGATAGTAGAATAAGGACTCTCGTTCAAAATGTGATAAGGCAAGGAAATAGGACAAGGAGCGAGGAAGCTTAAATCGAAAGAAAGTACTGACGGATGATAAAGCAGACATGATCTAGTCTCCAGGTCTGTTAGCAGTTAACACGGAAGTTGATGATAGTACTAATAGCCCATACAAAAGAAATTGACGATAGTACTCATAGATGATAACATAGATGTTGATGCTAATACTGATAGGTGATAGCACACACGTTGATGATAGCACTGTTAGCAGTTAACATAGAAGTTGATGATAGTACTGATTGCTGATAGCATAGAAGTTGATGATAGGCCTGATGGCTGATAACATAGAAGTTGATGATAGGCCTGATGGCTGATAACATAGAAGTTGATGATAGGCCTGATGGCTGATAACATAGAAGTTGATGCTATTGCTGATAGGTGATAGCACACAAGTTGATGATATTACTGTTTACAGTTAACATAGAAGTTGATGACAGTACTGATAGCCGATACAAAAGAAATTGATTATAGTAATGATAGATGATAACATAGAAGTTGATGCTATTACTGATAGGTGATAGCATACAAGTTGATGATAGTACTGTTAGCAGATAACTCAGAAGTTTATGATAGTACTGATAGCCGATACAAAAGAAGTTGATGATAGGCCTGATTGCTGTTAACAAAGAAGTTGATGAAGAAAGCTGCCTAGTTGTAATTTAAGACATGTAAGATTGTGTCGCTGTATTTGTGGAGCTAAATATTTCCATGAAGACTATCCTAATAATCAATAGATACATTTACCGATAGGGAGGGGCTCAGGTAATCTTGGATGGCAGCTCAACCTTCAGAAGGAAACTCTGAATTCAAACCCGTATGCGGATTACATTAATACCTTGAAACGTTCCGGCAACTCCATCGACGCCACTGGGGCCAAGCTGTATCATCCACATGATGTTCCCTTGGGTTATCTAGCGATATGGAGCGATCCGATATGACGTGTAGCCAAGCAGCTTATACTCTTAAATAAAGAACAATCCCAGGCCTTTTGGATTCTCCCTCTTGCGAAATCTACACATTCGTCACGTTGTGACGGACGATTGCCCCAGAATTGTCGTCTTACAATGTTAGAGTTTGCAACTGGAATATTTCATTGCTATCTTCTCATGACGATTTTGAAAAATTAAAAAAAACTATCTAACTTTGAATGTGCTTGACAACGTCCCGCGTTTAGGATCTTGATTTCTACAATGTATCGATTTATAACGAAGCCAGATATCAACCTTAAAATAGCCTCTTTAAGTGGAAAGAGATTAGAAGTCTGGAGTGAATTTATTGGCGTGCGATATGTGTATAGGGATAACGTGCCTGTCTTAAAATCTATTGAGAACTGATAGATGGCTTTTTTAAGATAAATAAAGTTATTTATGTTTTCCAAAGCCTTTACACTTTTGCTAACGAGTAAATGACATGGTCTAGTCTCATGGTATAGCCTCGTGGTATAGTCCCATGGTCTAGTCTCGTGGTATAGTCTCATGCTCTAGTCTCGTGGTATAGTCTCATGGTTTGGTCTCATATCTAATGTCATGATCTAGTCTCATGGTCTAGTCTCACGATCTAGTCTCAGGGTCCAGTCTTGTAGTCTAGTCTCATGGTCTAGTATCATGGTCTAGTCTCCAGGTCTAGTCTCATTGTCTAGTCTCATGGCCTTGTCTCGTGATATAATCGCATCGTTTGTTCGCATAGTCTGTTCCCATGGTCTGGTCTCATAGTCTAGTCTTATAGTCTAGTCTTATAGTCTAGTTTCATGGTCTAGTCTCATAGTCTAGTCTCATGGTCTAGTCTCATTGTATAGCCTCATGATATAGACGCATGTTCTAGTCATTTTTTAGTGTAATGACGACCGACCTCATAGTTAAATAACAGACGATACACCAATTTCCACACTGGTGTGATTTGGTTTCAAACGATTGGAACAATACTTCTCGTCTTGTGACAAAGTACCCTTAAAGGCACTCGTATCACGTCGTCGCGATTCGTGATCACCTCGAATGTCCATGATCACGCGGTTGTAACGTGCTAGTGACACGTACTTGTGTACTTTTACTCTAATGTTACGACGTGTAGGCGTCGTAGGACGAAATCGCTAAGCCTGGAATTTGTTTTTTCTTTAGGAGGATAAGATGCTACCTAAACCGCAAATCGTCCCTCTCAACGCACGGGGTATTGAAAGGGCGCATCTTTTGTGGAGAGTACAGATGAACACCAGTACCGTCACAGGAATGCGTATTGTGTCAATGTTATCCCTCAGCTGAGTATCAATTTCCCAAGTTTTTACGAGTCCCATCTTTTCTGGGTGCTTCGGATGTTTTTGTGCATCTAGACCAGGGGTCGGGAACCTATGGCTCGCGAGCCAGATGTGGCTCTATTGATGGCTGCATCTGGCTCGCAGACAAATGTTCGATAATAAATTTTTAAAAAGTTTCTTTAGACTCCTTTGATCTACATATTAATTGCATATCAACATTTCATTCTGCAAATGAGCTAAAATCTACTGCAGCTCAGCATCACAAGTGGAATTTTTTTTTAGTTTTAAACATAATGTATGGCTCTCAAAGAATTACTTTTCAAAATATGTGGTGTCCATGGCTCTGTCAGACAAAAAGTTTCCCGACCCTTGATCTAGACTAACATTTTTTTTTTTTTTGGATTGATTCAGCAATCATACTGCGTCTCAAAGGAGTATCAAATATTTCAAACAAATATTTCCACTCCATAGTACTTGTACACCTTGAGGCCTAGTCAAACACATGTTGCTACCTCATACCGTTGCGACATCTTGCGGCCGGGCGGCTCAGTCAAGCACACGTTTCTACCCAATAAAACTGCCACACCTTGCGCCACAGGGTATTATTCAAACACATGTTGCCACCCAATATCACTGCGACACCTTTGCGCCTAGGCGTCCGAGGTCGAATAGACCCATCCTGGCGATTAGATTTCACCAATCGTTTAAAGTTATCTGCTCTTAGAATATATAAATTGTTGTAGAGTAGAACAGTAAGTTATGGAATCAATTGTTGAATATTTCCTGAATACCTCCTGCCTGTCTGATGTGAATGTACAAATCGCCTTAAAAATCCAACTCGATGTCTTTAGATGAACATCCAAATGACGTCATCATAAACGATTTTCATGGTTAGCGTTTAAAGTCCAACTTTAGGAGAATGAACTCTCCAAACTGAAAGAGCAATTTTTTTTTTTTTTGTTGGGTTATATCCTGGATAGTTTCTAGGTCTCCTCCTTCCGGCCGTTTCCATCCCGCTAAACAAAACTTAGGCGTAGACTGATTGCTATATTGATTAGAAATATTAAATCTAAATAAAGTAGTCTATTCTTTCAAATCTAAACAAAGTAGTATTTGCTTTCAAATCTAAATAAATGTAGTATATTCTTTCACATCTGAATAAAGTAGTATATTCTTTTAAATCTAAATAAAGTAGTATATTCTTTCAAATCGAAATAAAGTAGTATATTCTTTCACATCTAAATAAAGTAAAATATTCTTTCAAATCTAAATAAAGTAGTATATTCTTTCAAATCTAAATAAAAATTATATTTTTTTAAAATCTAAAGACAAAGCAGTATATTCTTTCAAATCTAAATAAAATATTATATTCTTTTAAATCTAATTCAAGTATTACATTCTTTAAATCAAAATAAAGCATTAAATTCTTTCTTTCCGAAAAAAAAAAACTTGAAGGAGATCAAATGTGAACCCATTCGCCCAATAACACCCCCCCCCCCCAACGTGCCACGACTGAAAACCTAAAAGTATAAATAGATTACAGCTGGTGCCCTACATCTGAACGGTTCAAGAAATAATTACATTCCTACATTACATTCCCTTGAGCATACCAGAAATTGGGCCCAAAATTTGGATCAGTTAGAGCTAACTATAATCTAATTGTTAGGGGTCAAGTCCCAATAGGACCAGGTGTAGTGATACGATCGATGGGTTGGGTATTCAATTCGGTTGACGTGCACTGAACACACACAAAAAGTATTTAATTTTTCATAACCGGTTACTTACATACAGAACGGCACGGCTCATAGCTCACTATTCGCTCGCACATTATGTACCCCAAATAAAAAAGACAAGTTAATGGCGAATAACCATTATTTTTTGTTTTCTTTCGTAAACTCTTTTCGACATACGTTGTCTTTTTTATAGGAAAACCACCGAAGCGTAAAGAAGGCAAAGCAAAACATCAGACATATTTTGTAGATGCAGTGGACTGA